TCCTGCTGTTTTAGTTCCTCTCCTGCTGTTTGGGGTTGAGGTGTCAGGTAGCCGCTGGACAATGACAACACATCAGCACGGAAAACTAACCTGACATGTTTTAGATTATGGGGGGATTCTACCCAAACAGAGGAAGATGAGAACATTATGCAGATGATTTTCTGCAGTGGATTGCAACTAGTGTCCTGCCTTAGGAGTCAAGAGGAGAGATGGTGAATAATTAAAAGCTGCTGTCAGCGTCCTCAAGTTCTCAATGAACGCTGTAAAGTCGTTGACATTCCTGCCTCTCCTCTTCTGGCTGCATCCAAATCCTCATGGCCAGAGCTGTTTAATGCTAGGATACAGAAGTTTCACTTTCTTTTTTTATGTTGGGGTTTCCTCCCAAGCACCCAATGACAGGAAAAACAAACAAAAAAAAAAAACACTTGAAACTTTAACACTTATCTCTTCACTGTTTCTGGGAGCAGACTGTGGTTTTCTGTTGGTGTTCTTCTGCACATGTGGGGATGTTTAGAACCGCAAGCAGTCCACAAATATAGGCAAGTTATTTGAGCAACCTCACAAAAAAAAAAAAAAGAATTATGTAGCCATCTTTTAATTGTACCACAATAACAAAAAAAAATACTAAAGTTTAACTTCAACACTGAATATACGTTTCATTTATTGGACCTTTTAATTTAGTTCAGAAATACTTGATAACATTTGGAGTAAAGTGAAATCCCACAGTGGGGTTCCACAGGAATCTGTACTCGGTACCCTGCTTTTTAGACAACATGATTCTTTCAGGTGAAGCCACACGTTTAATTCACATTGTCTTTAATGATGAATAAAGCATCTTTTTTGTTAGATTTTATACTTTGCACATGTGTTTTGTTTTGGCACTTTTTAACCTCCAAATGGAAGCTAATCTCTTCATCTTCAGTGAGCTCTGTTGAACATTGGTGGGGGATGAAACTGAATGGAACCGAATGGGAACTGTTCTCAGGACTGAACCTGGCTAGAGGTGGAACAAGTCCTTTGCTTCCTTCCTCATATAAACTCCAGTTGTAGATCTTGCTTTCTCATGTTTCATAGATTTTGCTGTGTGGGAATGTGACGTGTTCCTGTTCTTTTCTCAGCAAGCTTCTTAGAAATGGTTTATGAGAGACTAACCACTAGTCAGCAATTAGAGAAACCTTCCAGTCAAAAAGGTTTTATAATTGGGTTTTAATCAGATAACTTGTACCTTCAATACAATTTGCAGTTCAGGTAAATAGATGTTTTCTTTGCACTGTAATTTGAAGTTATGGTTAGATTTCCACATCTCTGTCATTTAGAAATGTCATATTTACAGAAACATGTTCATCTGGGAAATACTGGTAAAAACATGACTTTTTAATAATGTCAGCTCCTCATGTCACCCATTCTGTTATAGAAATAAAATCAGTCCTCACTTTGTACAAAGCAGCCTTTGTTCCCTGATTGACTCACCAGACGGATCATTTCACTCATCCAGAGTCTATTCTAGCATTTTGTAAACTGTAGTTCAGCCCAGATGAGGGTGAGACCCCTCAGTTATCCAGCATCTCTTCCAGATGTTCATAATTCTTTCTTCCAGCCAAACATGACAGTCTTTGTTCAGATGTTTGTAATATCAACGATTAGCAATAGTCTTCAGATCAGCAGTTATTGTTTCACTTAAATACAGAGAACTGATCCAAAGATTGATTATTGTTCTTTTAGCAAGACACGACTGGCATGTCTAAAATTTCGCCGTCAATGAGCACTACTCTCCAGGGTGCAGGAGTCGTCTTTTCTCAACAGCCAGATTACAAAGATTTCGTTTCCTGTGGCGTCCTGCTCAGGTTCCTTCTCCGACGCCTTTGGTCTCATCTTATTCATCACAGAAAAATGTCCTCCATTCTCGCTGACAGCTGAAAAACAGCAGACAGAGGTTCACTTATACAGCACTTAATGTTGGTGACGTATAAAGTAGCAGCAATCCATAAGAAAGAAAAAAAATGTTAAAAGACGGAGAAAATTGCTTCAGATCGGTAAAATCCTTAAACAGACCAGAGGAATCGTCTAAATAAAACCAAGAGCAACCAAATGCCTTCAGGCCTCCCCTGGATAGTGACCAGAATCTGCTACTTGAACCAAGTATTAAAAAATGTGTTTTTAGTTTCAGAACATCACTGAACACAAAGAGCTGGAGAATGTAAGAAGAGTTTAGCTTGAAACTACAGAAAAATTTCCATATATGATGATGATGAGGATTTTTTCGTCAGTTCTGGCTGGAAGCCTGTCTCTCTGTGGCTGAATGATAAAGTGAAAAAAATTGGACTATCAATATTTACTGGTGACTCAGAAAATCTGGACACATTGTTTTTCATTTATCTAATTTTCCTTCCAAAGGCAGCCGCTAGGCTTTGTGATTGGTGGCCTGGAAAAAACAAAAGTAATCTAGGGCCAAACACTCTTTGGCCCTAGATTACTCTTGTAAGAAAACTTGGTTTGAGGTGAAGATCCTGGATCTTCCAGCAAGATAATGACCCAAAGCACAGTTCCAAAAGCACGCAGGCATGGATGAAAGGGGAAAAATGGACTGTTTAAAAATGGCCAGCAATGAGTCCTGATCTCAATCCAACTAAAAATCTTTGGGTAGAACTGAAATCTGCCATTGGAGAAAGGAACCCTGCAAATGTACAAGAGCTTGAGCAGATTGCAAAAGAAGAGTTGCCACCTGAGAAATGCAAGAAGCTTATAGATAAATATAAGAAACGTTTGGAGGCTCTCATTGCTGCCAAGGGCTGCGCAACCAAATATTACGGAGGGGTGTCAATATTGGTGCTCATGCTGGTTTTCTGTTTTGACCTTTGGCATTAAAATATTTGTGTTGAAATGGTAACTGTCTTTGTTCAATTATTTTAGACCTTAAATTGAAAGATGTTCCTGATATAACTTTTGAACATTTCCATTGAATTCTGAAGATATTCACTCAGCTATGCAAAATATGAAGGGGTGCCAATAATGGTGAGCAGGACTGTAATTTCCATGTAATGCCATGGTAATCCAGACCTAAACTGAAAGAAAATGTTAACTAAAATGTTGAAATATTCAAAGGAAACATAGAAAATGTTTTAATGACAATTCAAGGAAACATTTACATTATATATATATATTTATATTTTTGTTTTTTGCTGCAGTAGTGGCTAATTTTTCAGACAGTAGGCTGACAGGGAATGGGGTATGAAAAAGGGCGAGAGACATGCGGCAAAGGAACACAGGCTGGATTCGAAACTTGGTTCAGTCGCGTCGAGGACTAAGGCCTCCACACATGGGTCGTGCGCACAAACCACTGCACCACCTATACGCCCACATTTACATCATATTTAAAATATAACGGGAGGGAAACATACAAAGATCTATGAGCCTTTTCATTTGGGTCTTTATTCAAAAATAAACTATGCAATAAAATATTTTCTTTTGATATAATTTAGGAACTCCTTTTGGTAGAAATTAAAGAATTTTTAGCATCACCTCTTGTGAGCTGGAGGAAATAAAACCTTATTAGTTAGATTGAATGTTTTTTTTAAACTTGGCAGAGGATGATCAGCCCCATATAATTTATTAAGTAGCGAGAGCAGGAGGAGCCATACTGCTGAGAGCAAACCATCAGAGTGGAGCATAAAGCACAGACCTAGAGCTACATGCATGCAAAGAATCATTTCTGCGCGATAACAAATAGAAGATCAGAGCAGTTTGTCAGAGTTGAGCTTGCAGAGTAGGTTTTCTGTCGACCCCTGGAACATTTTGGATTATTTTCACCCTACCGCTGCTGCAACAACCCATCTGTGATCATGCAGAACGTGCAGTGCTGCACGCCAGGTGGGCTGTGACTAAACAGGACGCAGCAGCAGGACTGGTAATGCTTAGCAGATTACAGCACAATGATGCATTTTAAATGTCTGACTGAACACCTGCTAATTTTTATTTCTTGTTGACTAAAAATCACACCCATAACACTCAAGTTTTCTTTAGCAAAGATCCATGTTTAGCTCATAAGTTTTAGCTAACATCATAAAAAAAAAAATCAACGAAATAAATTTGTCCTCCTCATTGTTGACGAAAACAGCACTGGTGGCTACCAAACATATTTTTCAGTCTCCGTCTCATTACATCTATACATCTTCTACCCAGTTGCCAATGGCAACCATAAAATAACATTCATAAGGTAGGTAATATAAATTCCCAATGACATTCATATCTTTTGGATTGGCCATTTACGGTTAAAGGAAGGCGTGCACAGGGCAAACCATTAGGTAGAGCCTTAGCGCAAACGTTAAGCAGCTGTTACTTATAAAGTCAAGTTGTGTGCTGGTTAGCATGAGCATGTTGGGTTTTTTAAATTTGAAATTGTGAAATTTCAGAATTTGAAATAAATCTGAGAATTGATTTTTGGAAATGATGTCTACACTTTTATTAGAGATTAAACACAATGTTTTATTAAAAAGACCCTTGAAGAGCTCATTCAGGGTCAGACTGCAACACCCTATTAACTCAATCTCTGCTGCTGTTCGATTCTTTGCTTTCCCAACAGGCCCAATATGTGTTTACAGAGATCCTACCTGTAATTCATGCTCTTCATGGTGGTTATTGTCCTATTAAAAGAAACATATATGTGGGAGGACTGTTGAGTGTAGATCCTTCCCTTTTGTTTCCTGAAAAGTCTGCCTTCTTAATGACTTCCAGGATTTCTTCCTTGGCCCTTGCTCTCTGTTTTTCCATCTGTCTCTACTGACTACTCTAATAAATTCTGGGATAAGAATTAATTTGGGCAAGGGTCAACATTGTATACAGAAAGCTGCTGATACTGGATTGTGTTCACAAGCATTCAGCTAACCTACGAACCTAATATCCAAACCTGATGAGCTCCCACTCCTACTCGGTCCGATCTGTACGATTTTTTATTTGTTGCACTTTTTGGGACGATTTTGCAGTCTTGCAAGAATTTTTCAGTAGGACCGACTTTCAGCCTGGCCGTGTGTCCTGCGTCGAGTAGTGTACAGGGGGGTAATGACAGTGTGAGAACAAACATCGTGAGCCGTGAACTTTTAAAACCCTGTGGTTTGGTCGTACAGTATGAGCAGTAGATGCGTACAACAATTGAAAAAATTGTACAGTGTATGCCCGGCTTCAGGAAATATGTCGCAGGGAAATCTCAAAGTGCTGATTTTGGTGCAAAAAGAAGTTAAGAAAGTTCTGGTCAAACCTGTCTAACGGTGGTTCTGGAGTGACCCAAGGGCGCTGAGTGGAAATCAGAGCCTGTGTCCTGTCCATCTTGATAGTTTGTTTGGGTTTTCCTCAGAGAGTCTGGCTTGTGTCTCTGCTTGCGTCTGTGCTCTTCATGGAAGAAGAGTGGAGACACTCCCAACTGATGAGCAGAAATCAAGTAAAAATCCTTAGAGATGCTGCTAAATACAGACGCTGAATAGCTATATTTAAAGTGACCCCACCTACCTGTTGGTAAAATGTTCTCCCTTGCATAGACATAGAGGTGAGGGTGACTTTGTCTCCACTGTCTCTGATCAGTTTGACGATGTCCTCATGTTCCAGGGTCTCCACAGGTTCTCCGTTAACAGCAAGTAACAGTTCACCATCCTCCATACCTGCATCCTCTGCTGCACTCCCTGCATCCACCTCCCTCAACACATGAGCTGGATCCCCACACATTAGGAAGAAAAACAGTGAGGTAGTAAGATAGTGGGGCAGTTTAACATTTCGATTCAGGTGTTGCAGGACACCAACCCTTGAGAATTGAAATTTGAGGACAGTTTTAGAACATGAATGATTAACAATGAGTTCAGTCAGCCACCTTCTGAAACCAGCCTCCACTTTAAATGCAATTGTGTCAAACCATTATGTAGAACTACTGATACAGACAGCTGTTTATCATCTACATAGAACATGAACTCAAAGGGTCCAAAGTGGCTAACTGCTCTGAGTTTGCCATTAATACATCCATATTAATGTTCAAAGACACAATTGGATAGATTAGAATAGAGCAATATCTCAAGAGCTTTTAAAGAAAGGCCAAAGTTAAACCATTTCAGTTTTATTTTCAGCTAGACGGCATCCATGAAAAGGATCCCAGCACATTTGGAAGAAAACGAACCAACAATTACATACAGTTGTTGGTTGGTGGATTTCTCAGCATGAAGTGTTTGATCGCTGAAACAATGATGTAAACAAACTAGTGTCCATTTTGTCTTTACAACAAGACACAGTGGCCGTTTCTCAATTCTCATGAATGTGAGTACGGACTCATGTCCTCGCCAAGTATGTTCCTGTGAGAAGAACCCAGGAAAGTCTGGACTCTGGGAGAACGGGAGCATGCATCGTAAATATGGGTCAATTAGAACAGAAGCGTACTGATGACATCACCACACGCTCAGCTCATCTGGAGCTGCATTATACCTCCAGTTAACAGTCTCTAGATAATAATAAATTATTACTTTTTTCATTTAGTAGGGAAATAACAATGAACACAGTGAGATAAAAACAAATCAAATTAACATTTTGCTAATTAAAACAAAAACCTGCCATCAGAGCCAGCGGTACTTCACACATGGCTATGCCGAGAGAGGGCTGCTGTAGACGGGTTAACATCAGCTCTGGCTGCGGTTAGACTCAGAGGAGCGCTGGTTGTCGCGATCCTCTCAAAATCAAATTTTTTTTTAAATTACGTATTAAATCTGTAAATGGGCCATATAGTGATGCTTAAACGTATAATGTTCATGCTTCAAATGATCTTAAAACATACTTTTATTGAAAAATGGCAAAAGAAAAGAGAACTTTTAACTTAATACTCTGAGCTCTGTGTGGCGCTCCATTGAAAGCTGCTGCTGCTGCAGTGCATGCTGGGACAGCTGTCCATCTCAACAACAGACAAGTCTGCACTGATGCATGCTGGGTAAAGAGGGAGGGGTGAGAACAACATCCGGGGACTTTGTCCGTTCTCGGTCTGCTGTTCTTGCAAATTGGAACAATATTAGGGCTGAGGCTGACGACGTTTCACGAGTACACGAGAACATGAGAACACACAAGCACACATATTGAGAAATGGCCAGTATTTCTGTTTTGTTCAATTATAAGCCAAGATGACCAAGATGGCGTCAAGCTCATGGACGGCGAAAATGTAAAATAGAACCTCTCTGTCTGTGTTAATGCCATTACCACTGTGGTAATGGATACAAGGGACTTTCATCTTCTACCTGCTGTGTTTCAATTCAAATTTATAGTTTATTCATATAGCGCCAATTCACAACATGTTATCTCAAGGCACTTCATAGATACAATTCAACCTGATAGTACAGTCAGGTTGGTTCAAAGTATTTAATCTAATGAAAACCAGTCGATGCCATTGACTCGCATGCTTGTAGTGACAGTGGAGAGGAAAAACTCCCTTTTAACAGGAAGAAACCTCCAGCAGAACCAGGCATAAACAGGTGTGAAAGTATTTTCATTGCAATCCTTTAATTGTTTGTGTTTCTGTACATGTCATGATTAATGGACTTATGGAGGGGAGACCCTTTTTCCAACTTTGTGTTACTCACCGGTCTTTTTTGGTGCTTCCACCCTCTCTTGTCTTAGCAAGAAACCATATCCATTAGGTCTTTTCAGCAAATGCATATTCTTAGCAGAGTAGGGAAGGTTGAAGCTTTCTGCGAGCACAGGAAGGATGGGCATCTTTCTCCTGAGATAAGAGGACTCACTGGTACCGTCGATAACTAGCACTGTCACCGAGTTCCCACTCTTCCTCACCTGAGAACCACAAACACTGCACACACTTAGAAGACTTGTAGTCCACAAATGAACCATGTTATATAACCCTGAGGGCAGTATGCACCTACAGTTTTGTTCAGAGTGGTGTTTGTCAGTGTTGACACAGACACACCGTTGATCCAAATCAGTATGTCTCCAAAGCGAACTCCCGCTTTCTCGGCTGGACCATCAGTTACAGTGCTCAGCATGTATCGACCCCTCTGACCTGATGGCACAACTTTACTGTTGTTATTTTGATGAAACTGGATGATACATCTGCTCTGTTTTGAACTGTAGGTAACATTACTCTGGGAGGGTCATTTTTCAAAACAGGAAATTGCTACTTAATGATTTAAGACAGTATTCTAGAAAGAATACTGTCTTTTTAAAATAGTAACTACTGGAGACAAAAATAAAGAAGAAGAGGGACATTAAAGAAAAGGCATGACACATTTAGGCTACGTTCACACTGCAGCTTGAAGTGCTCCAAGTCCAATTTTTTTTGTCCACATGGGACCAGTATCGGATCTTTTCATGACAGTCTTAAAAACACAGATCTGATCTTTTCCAATGTGACTCAGGCCTCTTGTCTATGTGGTCCTGAATCTAATATGAATTGGATCTTTTAAAACGCGACCTGTGTCTGAACGTCATTAATACTCAACAAAGGTCACTATCCTGTGTCATGCTATGCAAAAGCAGGAAGAAGATCAACAACCATGGCGGATGATAAAGCTCAAAGCAGCCTTTATTTTCAATCATCTTTAAGGTTGGGAAAGAACGAAAGATTGCAGGATGTGCAAAAGCACTAAAATTCATGTTTGCAATGTCACTGCATCTGCGTAGTGTGTCCTGCATGCGCAGTAGCACATGAGCATTAATGGCTGGGGTGTGAACGTAGCCTCAAATCAACCATAAAGGGAATGAAGGACTACAACATGGATGCAACATATTATGGATTTAATAAAATAAACACGAATGACATAAGGAAGAACTCATGACAAACAAGTAACGGCAACAAAAATAAAAACAGGAAGTGACAGGTTGCATGGAAACTTTACAACAAGACACAGTGTATACCAGGGCTGTCAACTCTCACCCATTTGGCGTGAGACTTATGAATCTTGATGTCTTCACACGCTCGCACTCCATATTCCATATTTTTCATGCTAAAAAATGACGGAAATTAAAACTCAATTCCATTCCATGTACTTTTATATAAAAATATTCACAAATAGTGCTATTAATGTACACACAAAATTGAAAATAAATGACACAGATATCGAAAGATTAAGTGATGTAAAATTTCTTGGGGTAACAATACAAATTAAGTTAAGTTGGAAACCACATATTGATTATATCAGATGAAAGTTACCTAAAACATTGGCAGCATTATATAAAATTAAAGGTCTTTTAAATTGTTCATTAGTTTTGCTGTATCTGTACTGTATTGAAGTGTGGAGAAACACCTATAAAACTAATTTAAACCCATTTTTCATAGTTTAAAAGAGAGCAATTCAAATTGACAATAAAGAAGATTATAAGAGAGCATACAAACCAACTTTTTGTACATTTAAAAACATTACAATTTAAAGATTTGGTCTACTTTAAGACCGCTCAATTTATGTACAAAGTAAAAAATAATTAGTTGTACATATTCAGGGTCTGTTTTTGATCAGGGACAGTGCTTTTATGATGGAGGGAATAAAATGTTCAGAAAACCAAAAGCAAGAACTAATATAAAAAACAACATTGTATTTCTTTTGTTGGGGTTGATGTATGGAACAAATTAGACCAGGAGCTAAAAGATAATACAACATTAACAAGGTTTAAAAAATATTTAAGAATAATAAAATAAAAAATTATGAAGCATGTGACAAACAATTAAGAGCAGTAAGATATTGGGTATGTTACCTTTTTTTTTTTTCCGTAAAATTTTATTATTGTAGAATATTTTTTCCTTAAATCATAACTTGGAATGTATTATAAATGGTGGCCATCTTTTTTTTTTCTTTTTTCAGACTGTTTTAATTTATGTTATATGGACATATACTGTCTTTTATTATATACTTGTATATCTGAAATAAATAAATTTGACAAATTTGACATTGAATTTGTTTAAAAACATAATTTCTATCATATTTTCCAAAATTAGATTTTCAGAGAAGTGCTGTCTTGTGTCATAAGTTTTTATAGAATCTACAAGGGCTGAAACAATTAATCGGATTAATCGTGATTAATCAATTATTGAAACAATTATATTTAATATTAGGTAATCAATTGTTACTTGAAGTATAAAGGCTCTAAATCATGCCTTTAGCTGACAGAGCAATTATACCAGAATTCTAAAACAAATATGTAAACATTTTGCATTTAAAATAAAAGTTTTTTATCTATCAATATGCTCTATTCAGAACTCCTGAAGTGGAAAAGTGTTAGCTTCATCAGGTTTAATTTAGTATAAAATCTTCTTTAAGCTTCTGCTCTTCTTTGGCCACCGATTATTAATTGATTAATCAAAAAAAAATTGACAGATTAATCTATTTGATAAATAAATGTTAGTTGCAGCCGTTGAATCTACAGCCTCGTAGAAGTTTTGAAGTGTTTAGCTGTTTTGTCAATTTAAAAAAAAAACAACAACTAATAAGATACTGAGTTAAGATTTTTAATCCGTAGTCTTTTACCTAATATTCATACACAGTGTAGTTTGCGAGGGATTTGATTGCGCTGGTTCCTGTATTAGTGTCAGTAATCCAATAATAACCTATTAGTTCCCCATTGTTTATTTTACTTGAACTGCATAGACTAATTAATAAAGTTGTGAAATTCTTAGTTTACAGTATATTTAACATGCAATTATTTTAGCAGGGCCCATTCTTATTTACTTCAATTCTCTGAAAAATCACCAGAGTATAATAAATAATGTATATTGTATGGAAAATTTTCTGCATAATTACAGATCACTTTCTGTTATTCAGTAAAATTTATTGTCCTAATAAAATTCCACATTTCCCACTTTGTTTCAGGTAAATCCTCTGAAAACCATTCCTCACAGCCTTTCAATCCGATCCTGACAAGGGTTTCCTTTCCAAACTATTTCATAAACTCACTCCAAGGTTTGATGAAAATTTTGGCAGCCCTGGTATACCATCAGCAGAAACACAACAAGTAATATATGGAAGGACAGAAGAGAAGCGATACAGATGGTACAGCCTTCCATCCCAACATCTACTGACATTCAGACTTGTTGCCTTAGAAAAACACCAGAGGATTAACTAAGAATAACCGATAAATGTAAGGTACCTGTTATTGGTATGATAGTCATCCCCAGGCCATGTTCTGGATGTTTGACGATGTGACACAGTCTGGGGCGAGTCCACCCGTCTCCTTTGGAGGCTCTGGCGAGCTGTTGGAGGTCTACATCCATGAGCACTGCCTGGAAGGCCACCGCAGGATTCAGCAAAGGAAAGAATACCGTAAGATCATCCTCACTCTATAGTGATAATAACCCTCTCACCAAGCTTTTTCTGCTCTCTTATTTATTTAAGGAAATGACCAGACAGCAAAGATCAATGGATGGATCATCATTTATACCTAAAATGAATATGTTTGCGGTGATTTAATGAATTTAGCTTTAATCAGTAAAAAAAATCAAAACAATATTTTTCGTAGAGATCACAGAGTCTGGGACGCGCCATTTTTGCCCAAATATAGTATCACCTCACTGGACTATGAACTCCACCTCATTGGTCAAAAGGTCACAGAAGCGCATCATACTTCCTGTGGAGAATGAGGAGAGCCCACCTGCCCCCACCCATCCTCACCACCTTCTCCAGAAGCACCATAGAGAGCGTTCTGACCAGCTGTCTCACTGTGTGGTGTGGAGGCTGCAGCGCCTCAGACTGGAAGAAGGTGAGAATAGCAGAGAGGATCATGGGGGCTCCTCTTTTCCCAGTTAAAGACATTTCATCCCAGCGCTGCGTGTCATTATCATCAATGACCCTCATCCCCCCACCATGGACTGTTCTTCCTGCTGCCCTCAGGTAAGAGGCTTCCGCTGCAGGTCCAGCAGATTTTGCACCAGCTTTTTCCCCACTGCCATCAGCAGCTGAACTGTTGAAAAAACTAAATCAACTCACAGACTCTGCATCACACTGATAACACCAAACCACAAAGAACTTAATGTCGTGATTGCGGCCCTGATAGCTCACCTAATTGTTCATTTCACTCACCTGCCTTGTCCTCTCCGGTTACCAATTCATTTTATCCACCAGCTCCTGCTGCTTTATATATGGCTCAGCCCAGCAATCGGGGTTAGAGGATTCATGATATTTTTTTCAGTTGTTTGAGTTTTTTCCATATGTAGCTCATGTTTTCGTTCTCGGAGGCCAGTGGTTAGAGAGGGTTGTTACTGTTGTCTTATTGTTTCCTGATTGTGTCCTGGATCTTCTCCACTGAGCGAGCCCTGTTTCTGTTTTGGCTCAGTAGAGGGAGCTAGTTTAAAGTTCTGCAGTTTTGATAATAATAATGATTTTTCATAATAATTGAGAAATTTACCTCTGCATTTAAAGCTACAGTGTGTAATAATTACAGGGATATACAGTCAGAAATGTAATATATTATACATAACTATGTTATTTATCATCATCTACGAGCTCAGCCTCTTAACCTTAATATTTGCGTTGCCTTAGAATTCGTTATTTATAATTACATAGGAGCGGGTCTCGCAGCCATGGAGGCAGACATCTTTGCGCTACGGCAGCGCAGAGCCAACAAACTAGCGATTGCGAGATCGCCAAAACGTCACAAAGATGTAGAAAAAATAACGGGTATATTTATTATCTTAAGTCTACATGAAATCTATACCCTACACAGACTAATGAAATACTATCTGTAAAATTATCTATGTAAACAAACCTCATCACTTGAGAAGGTAGGTTATGCGGACGTCGTGGAAGACATTTTGTCCCGTAACGCTCGCCGTACTGTTGGGGGGAGAAGCGGTGGGGGGGAGATGTTCATGTTGCTGCAGTCTGACCGCTAGATGTTGCTAAAAGTTACACACTGTAGCTTTAACCCATCCCCTTGGGGAGCAGTGGGCTGCCATTGTGCGGCGCCGGGGAGCAGTGTGGGGTTAAGGGTCTTGCTCAGGAACCCAGAGTGCAGAGTGTGGGGATCAAACCGGGTACCTGCAACCTTGTGCACTGCTCTAACCACTAAGCCATCACTCCCCTGGTGTCATGTAAGGTTCTGCCTCTCAGCTGCTGAGCCTGCCTGTCTCCATCTGAGCGTGTCTTCCCAAGCTCTCTGTTGGACTCATGGAGTCATGAACCTGCCTGAACGCTCTGTGGATTCCTGGAGCCCTGGATCTGTCTGTTCCTGTTTTGATCCGAACCCCTGGCTGGGTTGCGGACTCCTGGATCTCAGAACCATCCTGTTCTGAGCTGTTTTCCTGACCTGGCTCGGACTCTTAACTGTTCACAGGGGCTGCTGCATCGGGAAAAACAGGGCGGCTCCCGCCGCATCTCGTCATTGGTCCATTGGCTGGTTTTAGTCTCACTCTGAGAGGATGGACTGAACTGTTAAACCAGGTAAGTGACTGACATGGATAATCATCTTCCGCCAGATTATCCTGGTCACTTACCTGCGTTTCTCCTAAACCAGTGTGCCAGTGATGGGTGGTGCCCCGCCTCCCCCCCACAGTCTATGCAGATCCACAGTTCGCTTCTGTTCTCTTTTATTTTCATTAAACATTTTCAACTTTCCCACTGTGTCTCGCCTGAATTCTGGATCCTACATTCTGAGCGCATTACACTCAACTCAAAAAAAATAAAATTCTTTCTAATGCATATTTGCCACATATATACTTTTCTTGAAATGCTCTGAGCTTCCATATCAATGCGTTTTGCACCATGTTTTTTCTCCCACACTGTTTACATTCTATCACTTCTGCACTTTATTGAATGGAAATGTTCATTGCTAAGCTCCTGCTCATTTACTGTCTGAAAGCTGTACAAAACACCATTTCGTTTGTATACACTGTGTACACAAAATGACAATAAAGGTTTTCGAAGTTTATTCCCATTAAGTAAAACGTTTTAAAATTGAACATTTCAGGAGTCTTTGCAGTTTATCTTCATCATGCATACCTGCTCATACTCTTCTTTCCTTAGCACCAGAAGAAACAAGTGTAAGCCGCAGGACTGGATCTTTCTCACCACCTGTAAGTAATTAGATGGATAATGGAAAAAGCACCAAAAAATATGAAGATTAAACATGCAAATACATTTAAAGTCATCTGACGAAGATTTGTGACAACGTGAGGAGTTTTTCTCTTATCAGAAAATGTATAAATGTATTGATAAGGTATCTGCTTCACCTTCTTTCTCACCTACAGCCTCTACACATGACAGCACAGCTTTGCTGAGATCAGGGCCTGCTGGCCCAGTAAAATGGCTCAAGACCAGAGCAGCTAGCTGGGCCTTGTGAAGCTGAGCTTTAATTCTTCAAAAATTGATGTTCTGAACTCAATTAATATGAAACTAAGAAACCTAAAAGGTTAAAGACCTTCAAGTCATAATAATTTCTTTTTTTTGTACTTTCATTTGTATTTCATGGATAAAGTAGAAGAGTCAAAGTGCATCAGATGCATGTCACTCTCCAATTTGTGAAGGGAGGGAGATTTGCCAGTTTTGCCTTTTATGAATATTTATTAAAACTGTAGCTTTCTTTAGTGTTGTGTTTTGGACTGAGAAGGCAGGCCTGGGGACAAAAGCATGATTTGTTTTGTTTTTTTACCAATCTGACTGTATGATATGATTAAACTGTCTTTGTAGAGTGCCCTGACATTACATGTGTTGTAAATTGGTGCTATATAAATAAGATGAATTGAAATAAAATGTTTAAATCACATTCCTGCTCCAACATGAGCCTCTGGATAAAGAAAGAATGTGGGGCCTTATAAATAGATTTTTTTGTATATTTGGTGGCACCCAATCCCACCCCCTTGTGACTTCAATGAATCTCAATTTTTATATGTGGTTCTGGGAAACTTCTAAACAAAACAAGTTTTGCAAGAAAATGATTAAAGCTATAGAATTTTTACTATTTTTTTATTCTAATCAATATATTTCAAATGTATTAAATTTTGTGCTTATTTATTTTCATTTAGCAGTTATATAACAAAGGAAAGGTTTTACAAAAAAAATTAACAATTAACATTTAAGACTATTCTCAACTTTTCTCCTGTCTTTTTATGTTGATCGACCCTTTTCCTTCAGCATAACCTGTCTTAACAGTAGTGCTCACATCTCCAGCATAGGTTGAAGTTAAGGATTTTTACCACTTGCCCTTCAGGCAAGTGACTTTCACATTTAATTTGCCCAGAAACAATTTTTACTTGCCCAGTATAATGTTTGATAAATATAGTTCCTAATATTCATTTTTGTGTATATAACAATGAAACATGTTTGTTAAATGTTTTTTGTAATTCAGTATTTTTTAAGTTTACAGGTTCCTGGTGTGTATATGCATGCGTCAGATAATGCAGGCATCCCCAACCTCGGTTCTCGAGGCCCACTGTGCTGCAGGTTTTAGAGGTTTCCTTGCTCCAGCACAGCTGATTTTAATTGAAAGCTGATTAAGACTTTTGGTCTACTGCAATCATTATAATCAGCTGTGCTAAAGCAGGGAAACCTCTAAAACCTGCAGGACAGGGGGCCTCGAGGACTGAGGTTGGGGATGCCTGAGATAATGAACTCAAGCCTACATTACCGTGTTAACATGCTTTTCAATCCTCCCTGCACATTCTTTTCAAACTAAACTTTGCTTTAAACTGTTGTGTGTTTGGAAAATATAAATTGTAATGTTAAAAATCTAAAAAAAAATTGACAGGTTAAAAACTTAAGATAAATCACAAGACAGAAGTCAATGTCCTCTAATGTTGCCCGGAGGGCAAATGCAATGAAATTTGTACTCTCCCAACAATAAAAACTACTTGCCCCGGGAGATTGCGCGATGGTTAACATCGAGCCCTGTCCAGAGTCATCAAACCCAGGTTGAGTTGAGGAGTCAATTACCAGCTTTCAAGTAACACTAAATCCTATTTTCCAGGATGCCATCAAGAGGATCCTTAATTAAATTTCCTTCATTTTTTTGGGACAAGTCAGCAGGCAAAACAGTGAGCAGAGACCTTTATGTTGCCATTTTCTGAAGCAAATTCTGACCTTTTAAAACATTTATTTTAGTTTTAATAGATCAGCATCAGCTGATATCAAAACTATCAGCTAGTTTGAAATGGTTTTGGACACTTACCTTTAAAAAGTCCATATTGCCGACATATGTCTCATTGACCTCCAGCAGTCGCTCTCCCCCCCTGAGACCACTACGCTGGGCAGGACTCCAGGGTTCTACATCTCCGATTACGATGCCATGCTTGTTCTGTTCCATGTGTAGCTGAAAGCCAAAGCTCTGACCCTCCACACGCTTTAGCTGACATAGGTGGGGCGCCATGCACACATCAGGTTCTGGACATGATGGATAAATAATTAACACTGATCTAGCAACAATATAATAATATATCAGAAAACAATATGAAAAACTCACCGAAATCATCAGTGATGATCAGAGCAGGATTATCAATACCTTCCTTTGGGTTGAAGGTAAAGCTAAAGGATAGAGAGATTTGCTCAGGATGACCATGTTTAGAGGGGAATCGGTTTATATGGAATTTATATTTAACAAAGTCTAAACACAATTCTTAGGGATCATATGAGGCAGGAGACCAATGTTTCGCACATGTTTGTCTAATGTTTCGCACATTCTGAGAGCACAAGATGATCTCTGCATCACATGAAATATAATCCAACATAACGTGTAAATCAATAAGTCTAATAATATTTACTCTGTATCATTTTGAATCTAGCATTTGTTTTATTATAATTTTACGACTTAAAACCAATAATGAAAATACAAGAAAAAAAAGAACTGGAACTAAAATACACAGACCAAACCCCCCCACCCATTCTGTTTTGTGTATAGTAGCTTAGTTTAGTTGAATGTCGCTAGTTTTTAGTCGTTTTTAACTGAAATATGTTTGACTTGCAGTTGAATGTTGTTAATAAACTCTTACATTTTGAATAGAATTTGTGGTGAATTTATTTCATATATGTGCAAAGTTTTCTGCTATGATAAACGTCACAACAGTGTTTAATGGCATAATGCATCCATCTGCAGTTTGTCTACTGTTTCCAACCCAATACCATATTTGGACACTGTCTTGCCCTCTGCCAAAATAAAACAGATTTAAAAAATAATCTAAAATGAGCAAATCAACTTAACAAAATAAAATGTTTAGATTTAATTAATTCAATGCCAGACATTAAAACTTTTAAATGTGTTTTAATAAACATCTCTCTCTCTCTTCAAAAACTGTTATTTAATAGTTGCATTTGAAATGAGACTGATAAATTTAGTCCTTTTGAATATTTAATCCTTAATATTTGTCATCCAAATTGCAATACACCAAAATTAACCCTGTTGTTTAGTTATCATCCATAAGAATGTTTGTTTTTAGATCAATCCCTAATTTGATTTTGTGCTGAATACAAAGAAGTTTGTTGTAGTAGAGTGGTAGTCTAAATTAAGCCTGCCATCTTAGACTCAATTAACTTTGCTAGGACAAACCTGCCCATGTTTGCTTACACACTTTGGACCTTGTGCTGATACACTGCGTTGGCACTGATTGTTAACAAATGGCAATGATTTCTCATAACCCTGTGTAGTTTAATAAGCTCTAACATTTCAGTTTCAGTCTTACTAGTGGTTTCTAGAATGTCTAAAAGATGGACGACAGAACTTTCAGGCGCTGTGGATGAAGCAGCCTGTTACATCGGCTGCATATTCTTGGAATGTTTTTCTATAAGTGAATAATAACAAGAAGGGACCAAAGGAGAAGGAAACAAACATGAGAGGGCAACATAGAGCAACACAAGAACTAAATAACTCAGCACTGGTAGAACTACAATACACAGAACACAAAGAAACTAAAAATAAATCGAACGGAGGGCAGAACGGAGAGCTGGGTCCCTGGCAGCGCAGAGCAGGACAGAGAAAGACTGAACAAACTGGTAAAAAAGGCCGTTTCTGTCCTAGGCTGCGCTCTGGACTCAGTGGATGAAATAGCTGAGAGGAGGCTGCTGTCCAAGCTTCCATCCATCATGGAAAACACCTTCCATCCTCTGCACCAGACTGTAGAGGAGCTGAGCAGCTCCTTTAGTGAATTCATCCCTGCTGCCACTAGATTCTACAATGTGACACTGCAAGGACAATAACTTGTGGAATGTATAATGTGCAATTACTATTTAATACCCAGGGCAATAAAAAGCTGACAAACAGCGCAAAACCAGTACAAAAAAAAAAAAAACAAAAAAAAAACCAACGAAATAACCATGTAAAAAAACCCTACAAGAAAACCCTACCAAAAAAAAACAAAAAAAAAGAGAAAACGGTCAAACACTGAAGCAACGTAAAAAATCAAAAGAACACATGCACCCCTGTCGCACCTTCGCACCCTCTTCTTCACCATTTGACCAGATGAAACGAAGTAAATCACTACATTGCGACATCAAGAAAACAAAAAAATCAATCAACCAACCAATCAATCAATCAATAAATCAATCAATCAATCCGTTGCCAGGCTCCTCTCCTTTCTGATAAAGCTAATAGTTATAGTATCTCAAGTAATCCTGAGTTAAATAGTTATGCTGCTATAGGCTTAGGCTGCTGGAAGACAGAGGGGGCATTTTCCCTCACTCTACTAGTCTACTTATATATTCTGTAGTTTCTACTTTGCTTCTGTTCAGCTGTGACACCGTTCTGAAGAGAGTAACTTCATGTTTAATTTCTGTAGATGATAAACTTCATCCCTTCTTTCAATGGTTGCCCCCATACGTATCTCTCTCAGACAAAACAATTGGCTGAACTTTTACTTTGACTGACTGGAAGGGCTTTCTTTTATCTCATAGACTTTGGTTTACTGTTTAGCTCCTAGATTTAAATGAACCCATAACAAGAGCTACTACTACTGCAACTAACAGAAAATACTCATGGATCTGTGGTTCTGGATTCATTTTCTTGGTCTTTGCAATGTTTGCTCAAACTCCTCAAATCAGAATATGTCTATTTGGAGCTAAAAAGTGACTGGCTTATCCTTCTTCCATGCCTGTGCTGGAATATTGTCACATTTTAGACTTTCTTGCATCTCATAAATCTCTTCTCTCACTGTTTATTGTAACATGTTAAGATTTATAACCCATTCAATAGTTTTCTTACTTTGGTAAATTGTACCCAAGAGTTGGGTGGAGATCCTTGGTCACATCTTTATCACATTTTTATTTGTTAGGCCATACTTGGACTCTGTCTTGATATTTAAGTCAGAGGTCAATAAAGTAAAAGTAAATTTGTGACTTTAATTTTTGATATAGCATACAGTTAAATTGGCAAAGGATATCCTAAGCTATTTCTGTAGTTATCTGACTTGGTTTCATGATGGACTCAGACATGAACCTTCAGAGGCATATAAAGCCAGTTACTAAGTCAGCCTTTTATCACCTGAGTAACATTTCCAAAATTAAAGGACTAATGTCCAAGCAGGATCTAGAAAAATTCTAGCATTTATGTTTAATAGAATGAAGCAGAATGATGAAATGAGAGTCCCTATGTCCTCCAGAAGTCTAAACCTATAGCAGCACTAGCAGACTGTTTAGCCTCTTGGGTCAAAAACGGAATAACCCAACAGAAAGTTGCAGTGTTGTGGAAGATATCCTGCCTTGGTTTGGTAGCAAAGAAAGCTCAGCAATCTTTAATGAAAATCATCTCATGTTTAAGGTGAACAAAACAAAGCGAAGAAAAACATAAAAAGGTCAAAAGTTATTACCATCATGGGAAAAGAAGTGGAAGTGGTGGAAGAGTAATACATATCTTATTCCGTAAAAATTCAAAAAATCCACTGGACTTGGTTTTCAAGATTTGAAGACGTTTCGCCACCTCTCCAGGAAGCTTTCTCAATTCAAATACATATCTTAGCACTTGACTGGACAAAACATTAGAGACGCGACAGTGAATCCCTCTACAGGACGGGACGGAGCAGGCTTTACTTTGTGCTTCTTCCCTGCATGGTTGCTCCTCTACTTTCAGCTCTCTCTAAATAAACTTACAATCTTGAAAAAAGCTTGACAAAAACACGCTTCATACTCTGTCACCGACTGTGGGGTGAATGCATTAGCCCCTCACAGCAGACAGTGGGGGCACCACTTGAGGGGTGAAATTTCACCAACAAAAAATAAACAGAAGAATAAAAAGAGATGTAAAAATAGATAAAATACAGGACACACCGGGACCCTTGTGCAAACACTAAAGGCATTACCAATAAAACACACTTGGTCTAAACCTCAGCCTGGGATCTTTCTGCATGATGCATGTTCTCCACGTGCATGTCTAAGTTCTCTCTGGGTACTCTCGTATTTTCCCAAAGCAATAAAAAATAACAGGTTGACTGTGATGGACCCTGTGATGGACGGGCAACCTTTCCAGAGTTTACCTCGCCTTTTACTCAAAGACTGCTGGAGATCAGCACCAGCCCTCTGGGACCCTCATGGATGGATTAGAAAGAAACAATCATCATTCCTAGGAAAAGGTGAACTCTTTAACCCAAAAGAATGACTGCAACATATATTTAAATTGAGATTTAACCGCTACTGGGGTAATTAGGTAGCAGCAGATTGTTTCTTAACCCTTTAAAATCAAGTGTTTGATATTCAATGCATGAGTTTTAAGCCTCCTGCATAATCATTGTGATATTTTTATTCCTGAAAACAGACACAATCAGACTCATGTAGTGAACAGAGAATCTATAAAATATTGTACATAAATTCCTAGTGTATCACAAATGATGTAAATAAATGATATAATTTAAATTACAAAAAAATGCATGTTTTTTTTTGTTGTTGTCAGAAAATTCAACGAAAACTTTAATTTGAAAAAATGATAATAGATATAATAGAAAGAAAAATGCAGACCTACCCGTGGACTGTCCACTCCATTCTGCTGTCCTGTAGGGTAACAGTGAACCAAACATTAAAAGACACATTTTCCCAGCAATATTTTCTGCAGCTATGCTTATTATAGGAGCCAGTTAAAGGGAAGGAGCTACATCCCATGTCCAGAATGTCAGTCCAAGTAGCTATCAGCACAGAGTGGAGGCTACTCTGGGTGCTGTTAGAAAACAGAAAAGTATTTACCGTAGGCCCTCTGGATTCTAGTTGTTGTTCTATATTGATTCTGTTCTAAGAAGACCCAAGAATCTAAAATATAATATAATTCTACATGTTTATGTAGAATTACTATGGAGAACTATAGACACATCTCTCTTCTTCCAAAAAATTCAACAATTACTGAGAAAAAAAACATGATTTGGAAAAACAGAAAAATAGAAAATAGAAAAATAAAACAATATGGTTTTAGGAAAAATCTACCATTATACAGGTAAAAGCCAGTAAATTAGAATATTTTGAAAAACTTGATTTATTTCAGCAATTGCATTCAAAAGGTGTAACTTGTACATTATATTTATTCATTGCACACAGACTGATGCATTCAAATGTTTATTTCATCTAATTTTGATGATTTGAAGTGGCAACAAATGAAAATCCAAAATTCTGTGTGTCACAAAATCAGAATATTGTGTAACGGATACATTTTGAAGACACCTGGTGCCACAAACTAATCAGCTGATTAACTCAAAACACCTGCAAAGGGCTTTAAATGGTCTCTCAGTCCAGTTCTGAAGCCGACACAAACATGGCGAAGACTTCAGATTTGACTGCTGTCCAAAAGGCGACCATCGACACATTGCACAAGGAGGGAAAGACACAAAAGGTTATTGCTGAAGAGGCTGGCTGTTCTCAGAGCTCTGTGTCCAAACACATTAATAGAGAGGCAAAGGGAAAGAAAAACTGTGGTCAGAAAAAGTGTACAAGCGATGGGGATCACCGCGCCCTAGTCAAGATTGTGAAAAAGAAAACCATTCAAAAATGTGGGGGAGAATTACAAGGAGTGGACAGCTGCTGGAGTCAGTGCTTCAAGATCCACCACCAAGAGACGCTTGAAAGACATGGGCTTCAACTGCCGCATACCTCGTGTCAAGCCACTGTTGACCAAGAAACAGCGCGAAAAGCGTCTCACCTGGGCTAAGGAAAAAAAGAGCTGGACTGCTGCTGAGTGGTCCAAAGTCATGTTTTCTGACCAAAGCAAATTTAGCATTTCCTTTGGAAATCGAGGTCCCAGAGTCTGGATGAAGACAGGAGAGGCACAGGATCCACGTTGCCTGAAGTCTAGTGTAAAGTTTCCACCATCAGTGACGGTTTGGGGTGCCATGTCATCTGCTGGTGTCGGTCCACTCTGTTTCCTGAGATCCAGGGTCAACGCAGCCGTCTACCAGCAAGTTTTAGAGCACTTCATGCTTCCTGCTGCTGACCTGCTCTATGGAGATGGAGATTTCAGGTTCCAACAGGACTTGGCGCCTGCACACAGCGCAAAATCTACCCGTGCCTGGTTTACGGACCATGGTATTTCTGTTCTAAATTGGCCAGCCAACTTCCCTGACCTTAGCCCCATAGACAATCTGTGGGGTATTGTGAAAAGGAAGATGCAGAATGCCAGACCCAAAAACGCAGAAGAGCTGAAGGCCACTATCAGAGCAACCTGGGCTCTCATAACACCTGAGCAGGGCCAGAAACTCATCGACTCCATGCCACGCCGCATTAATGCAGTAATTGAGGCAAAAGGAGCTCCAACCAAGTATTGAGTATTGTACATGCTCATATTTTTCATTTTCATACTTTTTATTTGGCCAACATTTCTAAAAAAATCCCTTTTTTGTATTAGCGGAATTTTGGATTTTCATTTGTTGCCACTTCAAATCATCAAAATTAAATGAAATAAACATTTGAATGCATCAGTCTGTGTGCAATGTATAAATATAATGTACAAGTTACACCTTTTGAATGCAATTACTGAAATAAATCAAGCTTTTCAAAATATTCTAATTTACTGGCTTTTACCTGTATATATTTATCCACTGCCCTGGATAAAGATACACGCTATTGTAAGATAGCTTCTCTAAAAAATATAGGTGTCTGAAATTGTAGCTTTATTGAGGTGATGGAGGAATTTAAATACCTGGACAACAAACCCGACTGGAGATGCAACTATGAAGCCGTCTATAAAAAAGGGCAGAGCGGACTGGAGCTATGAAGCTAAGGTCCTTCAGTGTTTGAAGTAAGATGTGGCAGATCTTCTATCAGTCTCTCATCTCTTCCTCTGATCTCTTCTTCCATCATCTGCTGGGGTAATAGCATCAGAACAAATACGTTTAAAAAGCCAGACACTACACAAGATCCATCCTGCCAACACCTAGAACAACTTGTTAAAAAGCCAAGGGTTTATTTCCGAAATAAATTTTATTTGGCATTAATGTTTTTTTTTTAAAATAATTTTCATTTGAATTTTTGCAACATACATAGATATATACATACAAGCCCCTTTTAGCCTGCTGTTCTTCACTTACAATATACTTAAAACAACTTTGAAAGTATAAGCATTGGTTTAAACTTACGAGTAAAGCAGGTTAAAAGATTAAACATGACTAAAAAACAAACATAGATATAGTTGGTAATAATAATCATAATAATAAGCAGTGCAAACGGAGATAAATGAGTGAAATAAAAATCATAAATGAAAATATATAAATAAAGATAAGGAAGGAGTGTGACATATATAAAAACAAAACTTAATATTGTATTTTTGAATTGAACTGAATTGAATGAGAAGATTAAGTTTATTTCTTTAGTGCCAATTCATGACACAAGTCATCTCAAGTCACTTCACAGACACAGTTCAACCAGATTATTCTGTCCAAAGGAGGAAACAGAACCGCTGATTTAACTTTGCATCTTTGCTAACAGTTCTTTTCAACACATTTTACTGTAACCATTGATCAGTGGTTCTGTTTTTGTGTTTTTCCATCCTTTCAGGCTCTAAGCAAACATCTTTTTGGTGCATTTTGGTCTTTGCTTGGTCAGAGCAAAGATCTGCTTCTTTCTAGAGCCAAAGGAGACCAACAGGCCTTTCATTTAATCCTAGCGCTGCATGCTCAGAGCCCGAAACATCATCAATGACCCCTCACCCCCCACCATGTTTCCCTGCTGCCCTCTGGGAAGAAGCTTTGAAGTATTCAATGCAGGTTCTGTAACGGCTTCTTCCCCACCACCATCAGACAGTTGAAAAAGCTCCAAATCATGTCACAGACCCTGCATCAAACTAACCATAGAGAAAAAATCTGACGTTTTCTTCACCATTTTTTTTCTCCCACAATTTCTACATTTGATCACTGCTGCACTTGTAGCACTGCTGCACAGCTGTACAAAATTAATTTTTATTTTGTATAAAAATGACAATAAATGTTGTCTAAGTTGATTTGGAACACATGAACACTGTGAACTTGACTGCTTGAGGTCAGCCCTGGAAGACCATCTGCTGATTGATAAGTTACTGCTCAGTATAGAATGAGTTTGGGGTCAGTAGGGCTCTCTCACAACAAGCTGATTTGATAAATCAAAGTAAACAAAAACATTCATCAATGTCCTTTATTTTAAATGTCTCTCTTTACTCAGCACAGTTTGAAGATGTAGAAGTGAGCCGTATAAACAGAAAAATTTCATTGAACATATGATTTTTCTTTTACAAGCTTTAATCTGTTATATGGAAAAGCCTCTAAAAACAGGGTAATTTAGTTTGGATCAGTTTAAATTTTAGGAAGAATCTCCTAGAAACTACACAGTAAAGCTAGTAGACTTCATGTCACCATCTAAGTGCTGCTTTGGTCCATAGAACTGGATCCGTAGCTGAAAACTGCTCCTCAGAGCCTCAGTTTGACAACAAAACAAAGCTGCTTCTGCCAGCTGACCGTGTTCAGCAGCACCAAAAACCTTTATGCAATGATTTGTTAATAGCTTATCAAAGATTCATTTAAAGAAATACCAGACGATGACTGGCTATGCTGTGGAAGGTTGCTGAAGTAGGAAAAAGGAGAAGGAGGAATAAAAAAAGAGAGAAATGCCTACCTTCAGAAGATGACATGGAGATCTCTGTGCTTTCAGCAGCTCATAAAGAGGAACCGTGAAGGGACAAAGTTCACAGCGACACTTTAGCTCAATCAGCAGGTGAGATAGTAACTCATTTCTTCATAAGCCTCTAGTTAAACATTTACATCTTCTTAGGAATGATTTAAAACTCAGTTTGGCACCTAATGGTAAAACTAAGTGATCCGGCTTCACATAGTCAACTGTTATGGTTCTGATTCCTGCTGGGAGGTTCTGAGGAGTTCTGAGGACTGAAGGAGAGGTTCTGGTGAGAATACAATGCTGGTCTGGACACTTTTAAGGCTAGACAGGCATTGTGTTCATGTTAAAGAATCTTACCTGAAGATGTGTTACCTGACAGCATTACAGAGGACATGTGGAAATATTTGGAGGACAACAATATATTATTTATAACTATTATTATTATTATTATACTGCCTTGTTGTTCAGGAAAAGCATGGAATTTAGTGAAAGAACAAACTGGAACCTCAGAGACGGAAGATGATCCATGACTTCCCCCCAAAGTGAAGACTAATCGACAAAAGTTCAAACGTATATATATGTGTATATATATATATATATATATATA